GTGGATGATCACTTGACTATTTGCCAGCAGTGTGCAGCAGCAGCCAAAAAAGCTAATACAATCCTGGATTGTATAAATAGAGGCATAGAATAAACATTACGCGAAGTATTAGAACCGCTTTATAAAACCCTAGTAAGACCACACCTGGAATACTGCAACCAGTTTTGGTCACCATACTACAAAAAAGATGTTGAGACTTTGGAAAAAGTTCAGAGAAGAGCAACTAAGATGATCAAAGGCCTGGAGACTAAAACACATGAAGAACAGCTGCAGGACTTGGTTTGCCTAATCTAAAGAAAAGAAGAAATAGGGGCAACATGATAGCAGTATTCCAATATTTGAGGGGCTAACACAAAGAAGAGGGCATCAAACTATTCTCCAAAGCACCAGAGGGCAGGACAAGAAACAATAGTTGGAAACTGACCAAAGAGAGAAGCAATCTGGAATTAAGGAGAAACTTCCTAACAGTGAGGAGAAACTTCCTAACAGTGAGGACGATTAACCAGTGGAACAGCTTGGGTGCTCCATCACTGGAGATTTTTAAGAGGCTAGACAATCACTTGTCTGAAATAGTATAGGTTCTCCTGCTTGAGCAGGGGGCTAGACTAGAAGACCTTCAAGGTCCCTTCCAGCTCTATTCTATTCTAATTCTATTTAATGTTTTGAACATGTACATATACATATATACATATACATGAATGAATGACAGATAGATGATAAAGTGCATGTGTGAATAGTTTAAGGAATTTTGAGGTGACCGTCAGAAAAGCATGAAAGAGCTTTTAAAAATGGGAGGGAGAAATTATCTGCTAGAGAGACTTGAAAAGGAGATTATACAATCTAAAAAATGGAGCAAGTGTGAAAAAGAAATTCTAAAGAACCCTGTTTTTATTTTGTTTAGTATAAGATGAAACAGGAAGAAACTTGAACTTTCAAGATTCTGATATTCTTCCCCAATAACATAGTATTCCTGGAATCTCCTGGCCTGTAGGGGGGCTGATAGATAGTTAAAACAATTGCTGAGTATTTTACTCTAGGAAATATTAGCACTGATCTTGAAAGTGAATGGATCTAATGCACACACAGAGAGAAACAATTTAGTGTAACAGTTAAGCTACTAGGCTAGAAATCGGGAGACCACGAATTCTAGTTCTACTTGAGATACAAAGCCAGCCTTGTGACTTTGGTCAGTCACTTTCTCACAGACCTGGGAAGAAGGCAATCACAAACCACTTTTGAAATCTTGCCCATGAATTTGCAGGGACTTGTCCAGGCAGTCATAAGGAATCAACCCAGACTCAAAAGCACAGGAAAAAAACCCTCACATAGAAAACATAATACAACACCGACTTCCTCGTTCAATGATGTTATTAGAGATATGCTATAGTATAAACCAAAGGTGGAGAACCAGGATTCTTAATACTTGAGTATAACTCTTAGCATGATCATTTGTCATGGCCAATGGAGAAAATTAACAAGAGTTGTAATTCAGTAATATCCAGAAGGGATATTTCTCCTTTCTGGCACATGTGAAATTATTTCCACTATGGACACAAGACACTGTATTAAGAGAATCATGATTGTATTGAACCCTTAAACCTAGTTTATAATCAATGCTTGCCCTCTATGTTCTGAATAGGATCATTATAATCAAACAACAGAGTCTGGGAAATATGGCTTAGGCAGCAAAAATTGTTTTGGTGTTAGAATTCAGCTCTAAATCTCCATCTTAAAACTGCGGAAGAGTGACAGAGAGGCCTTGCTATTTTACAAATGGAAGTTAGCTTCCTTTAGCTTCCCTCAAGAATCAGAGGATTTTTCTATATAGAATTTATGTATGTAAATTTATGTATGTAAATTTATTTCTGTAAAGCTTTATGTCCTAAGCCTTGTATACCCTTTCTCACTGTAAAGAGAACCTGGTGCCATTCTCTAATTCCATCAAGTTATATATCCGCTTTGATAGCAGGTCTTGTGCAGGTGATTTTTTTTTCTCCAATAGCCAGACTGTAACCCAAGTTATAAAGTAAAAAAAGTAGTTAAGATTATAGTTAAAATATCCAATTCCATCTATGTAGGTACCCCACTCCCATTTTTGTGTTTTGTTATTAGGAATTTGCTAGGTGCATTTTGAAGGAAGCACTTTTATAATTTTAAACTAACAGTCTAAAGTCACATATGCTGCTTAAGAGATGGGTTTTTAATTCCTCAGTGCTGAAGCTACATTCTGTGATCTCAAAAGAAATGAGATCATTGCTTTATCCCTTCCAAGTATCGTGATCTTACCTAGATTAGAATACACAGGAGGGAGAAAATTAATCCTAAAGTACACATGGCCTCTGCTAAATTAATGTGTCTGTACATAAGGGTACATGTACAGCCCAGAGCCAAGAATCACCAAAGCTCAGGATAAATATAAATATATTAAGCACAATTTCAGACACTTTAAGCTCATTGCATTATTACTCCAGAGGGGGATAACTCCCCATTGTTTGTGAGTTGAAAAAAGAGAAAAAAAAGGTCAGTCTTCTGACCCACAGTTCAGGAAATTATTCTGTTCCAGAGGTAATCAACCTGTCATCGAAATAATTCTCCATTCACCTCATTGCTTATAAAGCATATCTAGGTTGCCTGTCTAAATTGCTATGGGTACTAGTCATATTTGGATAGACAACATTTGGCCCATGACCTACAGTAGTAATGGTTTCAAGTCCTCCATTTATCTCAGATAGTTTCCCAAGATCCCTAACAATCAAATTTGGGACTCATTCAGAAGATCTTCCGAAAATATTTTTTAAAAATTACTGAATTTCCTTTCTGTATCTAACAATGCCAACAGCAAAATAGCTTACCCATTAAAATAGCATATGTATGGATATTTAATTAAATTTCATTACATTTATGAAGAACATAGGATATTTTATAACATAACTTTAAAAGGAAGCTTGTATCTCTTTTACTTAAGTTTGATTTAAGGAACTGATTTAAGCAGGTTTGTGTAAGAGTCCGTTGGTTCCCTACACTTCTAATGCTAAATTTGAAAACAATCCAGGAGGAAGAGGAAAAGAGAAGTCCAAAGTAACACTTAAATGAAAATTTGAAATAATATTCAGATTTTATGTAAGGCACACAAACAGAAGATATGTTTATGGCATAGCTTTCCCGGTTACTATAAGCTTCTACAGGATTATATGCTGATAGGTCTTTCTGCAAACTCAGATATCTTAGGGTTAGCAAGTTGACAGCATAACCGCAGTGTAATTAAGTATATCTCGTTTCATTTAGGATATCTAAGCAATGTCAACTGCCACAGAAATAAAATTTAGGTTACCAAAAAGCATCCTTCTTCAACTGAAAACATTGCTGAGGCCATAGAGGATAAGACTTGAAGCTGCAAGGAGCAGAGTCTGTTCTGCATAAATCTGCATCATGCTGATGATTCTTTTTGTAATGTCAAAACTTCTTTCCAGGGCTGGTTTTGTTACATAGGTGTAAACATATATACCTATTTTGGGTGGTTACAGATGATTTGGGATAGTTACAACAGTAACATCTTCTCTCTTAATAGTGAGATTAATTTTAATCTCAAGAGGTTCAAAACCTGATTCTTTCACCTCTGCACTGAATGAAAACTATTTTTTTAAAAAAAAATAAGGCGTCTTTTTGTACTCAAGAGGCAAAATTATATAAGTAAAGTAAAATAAATAAATAGGTATTTTATTCACGAGTCAATGGTTTGGAGAACAAAGCCTTTTCAAACATCACTTCTGGCTGGTTGGCGAAAATCAAACTGCAAATTTTGACATATTTTTTTCTCTCATATATATTTAGACCTACATACCTATATACTCCTCCTTATGGGTGGTATACATCCTTTTCAATCTCGGGTCCTCTACAGGGCCCTTGGAGCGGACGGTTTTGTGCAGGATCTTAGCTGTTCCTATCACTGCACTCTTCTGGAGGGAGAGCTCTGATGTTGTTCCTGGGATCTGTTGGAGCTACTCTCCCAGCTTAGTAGTCGTAGCCCAAAGTGTTCCTACCACTACTGGGACCACTTTGGCCTTTATTTTCCATATCCTCTCTCATTCCTCCTAGCACTTCTCCAGCTTCCCATACTCCTTTTTTCTGATGTTGATGTCACTTGGACTGCCACATCTATCATCACCACTCTCTTCTGGTCCTTGTCTGCCATCATAGTCTGGTTGATTGGCCAGTACCTGCCTGTCTTTCTCAATCTGGAAGTCCCACAGGATCTTAGCTTTCCTATTCTCCATGATCTTCTGTGGGATCTTCCGAATCTAGCCCATATTCTATACAGAAGTTCCTGTATATTATGGCAGCTATTTAGTAGTAGTGCCATTCAGTGTATGTTATTTCTGCCAGTATCTCACACATACGCGCACACACACACACACACACACACTTGTACTTCATGGTTTAAAATGCATCCAAGTAAACCAGTAGAAGTATCTTGAATGCTACCATGTTTTATTTAAATCTATACAGTTTATACAAGCAAAGAATTATGTTCTTGTCAATGTCGCCAGCAGAAATCCCCTAGAGACATTCTTTAAAGGGCAGATAAGTTAGTCAGCATCAATTGTGTGACCCAGGAATGGTTTCCAACAGGCCAGACAATATCCTTTTACAGAAGGGACAGATGGCAGAGCATAACCCAAAACAAAATTAGGAATGTTGCACCACAGATGGAAAGGCAAAAAGTCATATGTTAAAAGGTCATTCAAGACATGGAATCAATTTCCAGTAGGAACTGAAGATAATACCTTAAGCAAATCAAAGAGTGGGCTATAACACTATGGAGGAATAATTCTGCTTGCATGCAAAAATTTCCAGGTAGGACCAAAACACCTCTGTCCTGAAACCCTCCAAAACTACTATTGACAGGCAAAATAGCTGTCTATATTTGACTTAATCTAATATAGTTTCCTTGGGACTTTACTGTTTGCTCTACTCATATAGTATACTAAATGAGCACGTACCCATGGTTGTTCAAAGCTGTAAGTACGCCTCCTGTCTTCCACATCCTCATCTTGCTTGGCTTGTTGAAATTCTTGCCTTAATCGTTGTATCCGGTCATGATTGCTTGGAGCTGATCTGTTACAAAATAAGACATGAAAACATAACTGATAAGTTCTTTCTTCAAATCCTAACATTTTCTTTTTCTAGTAAAAATTAGTACTTATAATAAGAATGTTATAGTTAATTCTATTTCTTACCACAACTTAAAATATACATGCCATATCAGGCACAATTTTAAACAAAACTTTGGATAAGGAATACACATATTACTATATTGCTACTGTAATAAGAAATATATTATGGATAGATTTTTGAAACCTCATGGGAAAAAAATCAGTACTATGTTTATGTCTTGTTATTTTACCACAAATGCTTAGACTCTGGTGAAAGAAATCCTTCTTAATGTAAATACAACTTAAAACAAATATGCATCTTCTAAACCTTCTTCAGTTCATCTAATCCATAAGAATGTAACAAGAATCCTTGCATCAGGTCAAAAACTCAACTGGGCTCTTACCAGCTGGTATTCAGAAGGCTCACAGGCATGGACACAAATCATGCTGTATATACAGAAGAAATTATCAATTGGCAAATCCAAATAAAATTTCCCCAACAAAACAGGAACTATTACTATATGCATTTAAGGCATGTGGGCATGTGAAGACTGCATTAAAGGTTTTTAAAGAAAGGCAAACATCTTTTAATGAGATCTCCCTGTGACAGTTAAATGTTACTCATTTCAGATACTCTGCAGATTTCTGAATTTCATTTCAATGGGTTTTGTCAATGTAATTTGCAGATGACACTATTAAAATATGTTTCCTTGTCAAGAACTTCATACTTAGGTCTGCTTCTGACAAGTAGTTTGAACTTATCAGTTTAACATTAAAAGGTTAATAGGCATGTGATACATTTCAACATGTGAATCTCTCAGAACATTTATCAGGCATCATATCATGCTTACAAGAATAGATATGGCCCTTTCTCTCCTAAAGGCCTCTCCTAAAGTTTGATTTGATATGAAAGCTCAGTTCTCTGTGCACTTATTTTGGAAATACAATCCATCAAATTCAGTGGAATTACTTTTCAGTTAACAATCTTCAGGTTTGCAGTATTATTTTTGGATGATCTAAAATTATTTAACACATCATAACAATAGGCAAAATATTACGCTTTTTATAATATTAATGACAAAGAAGAAACTTGGGTTCTTATTTTTGAGGTTTTTGAGAATCTGTGAGAAAAATATTGTAAGGGCCCCCTAAATTGTTTCTCCAGCATGTAAAGAAAAAGAGAACCAGCCAAGGCAAACCCAAGATTTTTTTTTTTATCTGTTAGATGCAATGGACATAATAATGCTCCTTCCCATTCTACATCAATTAAATGGCAAATGAATTTTATTTCTTTTATTTCCACTTTGGGAATCCTTCATCACACCTGAGTGAATGAACAGATAGCTCAGACATCAAGGAACAACTATGTAACTTTAAGATTTGCCTTATATTCTCAGAGAGAAGAAATAGTTAAAAAGCTGAGGTTGGCTCATGCATTGTATTTGGACACTCTAGCTATAATTTTTCTCAGGGCTCCTTGGTGTTCTCTGACCATGGCTGTTTACTTGCAAAAGCTTGATTACCCAAACTAGGTAACATCATCAGTGATAGTAAGGACCCCTCATTTCAACCCTGAACTACAAATATTCTTCTTTAGCAGTATATTTTTTTTCTTTTTTAAAGTATTAGGGGTTGATATTTAAGGCACGTGTTGCACACCTTAATATCTCAGTTAGAGAATTTCAATATTCTAGCTATATGACAAACTATTCTTACATTTATTTTTTAATAAATCATAGATGTTCGTCCATCTTTCTATAGCCACAAAGGAGAAAAAGCACAGAATCTGATCAGAACTTTAGGGACACAATATGAACCTGGATGAATTTCTATCTAAAAGCTAATAAAAGGAGTACTTCCCTAATATAGGTCACAAGAATAGAAAGATAGGGACTTCCGGTTTGCCATTGTGGACGGTGGAAGGCGAGCTCCGTCTTCGGCATTCAACTTTGTTCTGCTGGGGGACCCTGGAAAGGGTCAAAGGTCACCCTGTAGGGGCAATGAGCAAGAAGGGGACCCCTGCTTGATCACGGGAGGGTGGCAGCTTGATCCGGGGCAGCCCTCCAAACCGGCAGAGGAAAGACCTGCCATAGCAATATGGCTCGTCACGAAACTGCTGACAGCCGAAGTCAAACTTACCATCAAGCACTTTTAAAGCAACGTGAATGAAACTGGGTGAGATCTGATCTTCTCTTTAAGATCTTAAGTATTTTTCTTTTCCTGTAAAAGCTGCCCGAAGTACTTTTTCCCCCTGGGAGGAGAGAGGGAAGGGAATTTCTGCCCTACCCTCTAAGAACAGCGGTGACTGACTACCCAGGGGAGTTAAAGCACTATAAGAACAATTTCAATTGGATTAATATGTTTCTGAAATTTGGGGACCAAAAGTTTTCTTATTTTTACTGGACTTTAGTACCCAGAATTCCTGAACCAGCCATGCTGACTCAGGAATTCTGGGAATTGAAGTCCACAAGTCATAAAACAGCCAAGGTTCCCTACCCCGGTCTAGTGTAACCACATTCCTGAATCCATGTTTAATTCTGGGACAATTAAATTTTCTTCCTCTATTTCTTACTCTTTGTAAAAAAAAAAATATTCAATAAAATCAAATGCTTTAATGGCTAAACTTTGTGAGTTGAGGCCAGATTCACCGTCTTAGTGATGGGGCAACTTGCACCAGATTCACCTTTTTGTTTGATGTCTGCCAAATGCACATTACTAAAATGCAGCTTCAGCAGTTTCGTGAGTGCGACTGACATGTGCAAACCCCTGCCTGGTCCTGAAAAGAGCAGCGTAAGCAAAGCTCAACTAGGCCAGATCTGTCACATATTTTCTGTAACTAGAATTCAAAGCAATGACCGTTTAGAGAGTCAGATCATTAAGCAGTATCTCACTATGATGTCATGCACTAAAGTTGCAGAACAAAGAGATGTCAGGGTGATAAAGTGGATACTGACAAGTTACTGAGCAGGAATGACTAAAGCTTTGGGGGAGAAAATTATTGGATTGAGAAGAAGGAAAACAAAACAAAAAGAATCCTTCCAATAAAGCCAAACAAGCATTAATATTACAGGTACAATACAAAACTTAGCAAACAAATACAAATCCAGCAAATAATTCTTTTCAGTGAAATCTGTTTACATAAAACTGAGATTAATGCACAGCAAGAGGAGGAAAAGGGGGAGTATGAATCTATATGTAATCTCTCCAGCAGCACAGAAGTCTTTAACTCTAATATGTGGATGTAATACAAGTAACCATAATGGAGCCTGGGATTTCCATTGTAATTCATGGTAATTATAGGCCAGGGTACCCAAGTTATTGGGTTCTGTTTTGCATTTTTTGTAGTGGTCATTAGTGAACACTCCATGCAAAAACATTATAAATCACAGTCACATGACTATGGAATGCTGCAACTGACTATAAAGATATCTTGGTTGTGAAGTGCCTGAAATACGATCATGTTACTCTAGGAATGGTGGTGTGTAGCCATGAGAACTCTGGAACTGGGTTGTAACTTTGGGGGACGTGTCCATCATAACTTCAAACAATTGCTAAGTGACTGGTCATTAAGCAAGGTATATCTATAAATAGGTTCTTGAGTCCTACCACTAGTAAACAAAAATCATTTTAACTTGTGTTAATTATATGCTCCGCACTCATTTGAAGAGTTCAATTCATGCAAAGAAAAAAGTTATGATGTATCCTTTATCTACAGGTAGAAATGATAGAGAAACACAGGCTATTTACAGTGAATTTTAAAAAGGTTGCTGCCAATATATCCAGTCACAGAATGCATGGTTGGCAAAGTTGAGAGAAACTTATGTATTATGTTAAATTGAATCTCTCTTGTCATTGCTTAGCAGGATAAAATAAGTTAGGCAAATGTACAGCAAGGTTAACCCACTGCTTTCTTCCATATAATGGAAGGCTTTTTCATTCATCTAAATATTTATTGCAATTTCTTTTATTCAACTGCATTCAGTTGGTTTATATGAATTTAGCAAAACTGCTGAAGTAGCTCTTCAAAACCCTTCAGATACATGGATTTAGCCCTACAGTGGAGTACAGTAGTAAGTTACAGTGTTGCAATTGCCTATTATTTTAATTATCTCAAAATATCCTTGATAGAAACAGAAAACAATTGAAAAAAGGTGATAATAAAAACAAGCACTTTTTCTTGCAATATGATGTCTCTCCATTCTTCTTCATCTTTGTCATCATACCTTTACTGCTACATAAGCTATACAGTTTTAAGGATATATAAAACTAGATCACATTGATCACTTATATTTTGCTGTTTTGAATTGATCAGTTATATTTTATTGTTTTGAATTATGTTCCTGCCAAATAAAATATTTAAATGATCTCTTATCGCTGGACTGAGTCATTAGAGTTGTACAAAAAGGTACAAACATTGACAAATAAGATTTGATGCTGAGACTTAATTAGCTCTTTCTAAATGTTGTTTAGTCCTTCCACCTAAATACTGTATCTTTAGATATTCAGTTTTGTTTAAAGTTATTTTCTGGACCATTCTAAAATTTTATAACTTGTGTTTTCATTGGAACAAGGAATTCAAAATGTGTGAAAGGCTGCAACTTTCACAACAAAACAAAAAATAAATGACTAATTGACAGATAAGAGCAATGTCTTTGTTGAATTTACTTATGCTGTTTTTAATTTGATCAGCTAGCAGCATTGAGTTTTAAGGGCAACCCAAGGCTGCAAATTCACAGTAAAAATGTCACATGTTGAATAAGCATTTGAATTAAATTATGCACAAACTAAATGTTTTAGCTCAAACTGATTATGCATGCAAAGTTAGTTTCTCTAACAAGGACAGCTTCTTGAATGCTGAGAATTTCACTTGCAAATCTAATTTCTATTTTGCATGTTATTCCCCAGTATATATTTACTTTCATTATACAGGATACATAAAAAAGTCCTGTTTATTAGCTCAGA